CTACTGTTCTGTTCCCAATAGCAAGTCTAAGAAGACCATGGTGGCATCAGCCCTCCTTTACTTTAGCAATGGCCATGTGTCTGATGCTCCCATACTCCATTTGATGGTGTCCTCTCTTTACAAGACCGTGCACTCCAAGTGTGTTTCAGACCTTAAGAAGGGCAACCATAGAGGGCTTTGAAGCTGCCCATCAACAGTGAATCCCTGGAGAACACAGCGGGCACACTTGTCCCTTGGTCAGCTTTTCCCACTCTGGTGAGGCATTGGGAGTTCTATTGCAATCATAGCGATCCTTTGTCAATGTGTATCTTTGCATATCAATGAGCACATGAAATTTTTATGCAAGCCTGAGTCCCCTTTTGTCCTTTTCCCTGGTGATGCAAAGGGGGCTGTTCTACTTGGTTTTTGTCCAATTAACAGGGATGTTTGTTTAAAACTAAAACAAACCCAAACTGCGTAAAAGAGCAGTGCAACATCCATAAAGTTTAAATAGTATAGTGAAAGCAAAGAGCAGAAGTACAGGTGGAGAAAATCAAATTCACAGTTCAATTAGAAACTCAAATGTCATTTCCAGTCCCCACCATTGTTCCTATTTTAGGGGGAAATTTTGAAAACGTCTTCCTGTGTTCTTCAGATACGTGTCATGCCTTCCTCTGTTCCGCCTGCCCTTCTTCCCTGAAGTGACTCACTCAATTCTACTGCCTGGAAGAACCAGCCCGGATTAGAACAGTGAGGAAATAGAACCTCACACATATGAGGCAATATGGTTAGCACCAGCAAGCACCCCTGGGGCAATGGTGTCCCCTGACGCTGTCCAGCTAAATTCCAAAGGTGAGAGTACTGAGCAGCCTCTGAGGGTATTCAGGAAGCAGACCCTGAGCTAGTCAGACCATCTGAGCTGACTGGCACTGTTGAGTTGTGATGGTAGAAGAAGGGCAATCCTTATGAAAACAACAACACGCATCTTCATCATCAGAAACTGTCAGACTAGCCTGGCACTTGCAGCAGCTCACTAGATTTTCAGGTAGGAAGAGGGTGGATACAGTTGTGCAATCCTATGCAAATAGGCTCCACTGACTAGATGTGCATAGGATTGCACTGGGACAAAGCAACTGTACTATAGGCGGTTGAAGGCCAAGGATCCACCATCTCCAAAGCTCAGCTGCCAACCCAGGAGGGAGGGGCAGAAATTTGCCATTGTGATGGTGGTGGTTGCTCTCCTTTTCTAGGCCATTCTCCACCCCTTGTCCACATTCCCTCCCATCAATTGCAATGGCAGGGAATAAGTATACGCCAGCTTTCCCCAACCTGGCTGGGACCAATGGGACTGATGTTCAAAACATCTGGAGAGTGCCACCTTGGGGAAGACTGATCTATACCAGCTCCATGGCTGGCATAGACATGCTGCCAGTTCAGAAGCTTGCCTGGGGAATGGGAAGAATTTGAATCCTGTGGCTCCTACAAAATGCCTCTTGTTTGCCTCTATTTCTATTTTCACTGCTAGGGTAAAAGGCGATTGTGAGATTGTGTAGGTGGGACTGGCTCTGTTTGCTGCTCTGCTCCAGGCAGCCACACCTCTTTCATTGGCCCTGATTGGCCAGAGTTTATTCTCTGTTTGATCCAAGGGGTGTTGGAACAGGTGGTGGCCAGGTAGCTCCAGGCCCTCTTGGAGGAAGTGGATTATCAGGCTTCAGGCCAGGCTTTGGGATGGAGACTGCCTTGGTTGCCCTGTGGTATGACCTTTGGTGGGAGCGAGGCAGGGGACTGTGACTCTGTTGGTTCTTCTGGACCCTTCAGCAGCTTTTGACACCATGTAGTGTCCTTCTGGACAGGCTAACAGGGTTGGGAGTGGAAGGCACTGCTTTGTGGTGGTTTCACTCCGTTCTGGCTGAACATGTCCAGAAGGTGGTGCTGGGGGATGGTTGCTCTGAAGGGCGCTATACTATCCACCATGCTGCTCAACAACCACTGGGATAGGTCATCTAGAAGTTTGGGCTGATCATCTTGACCTCTCATCTTGACTTCTTGTGCACATCTAATCCAGATGAGGCAGTCTCTGTGTTGAATCCATGTCTGAGCTTGGTAATGGGCTGGATGAGGGTCAATAAACTGAAGCTCAATCCAAACAAGACAGAAGTGCTGCTGGTAGGTGATTTGCCTGACAGGTTGGGTGGCCATTACTCTGTCCTGGATGGGGTCGCACTCCCCCTAAAGGACAGGGTCCACAGCTTGGGGTGCTCCTGGACCCAAAATTATTGCTAGAGGCCAAGTGACTCAGTGGCCAGGAGCACTTTCATTCAGCTGTGGTGAATATATCAGCTACACCCCTACCTGAGTAGACAGAGCCTGGCCACAGTTACTCAGGCACGGGTAATATCCCATATTAGATTGCTGTAATGATCTTAATGTGGGGCTGTATTTGAAGATGGTTTGAAGACTGCAACTGGTGCCAAATAGGGCTGCACACAGGTACCAGATCACAGCCCCATATAAAACCTATTCTATATAAATTGCATTGATTGCCAGTTGAAGCCTGGGTTCAATTTAAAATGCTTGTTTTAACTTATAAAGCCCCAAACAGCTTAGAACCAGGCTACCTGAAGTACTTCCTTCTCCCATACCTACCTACCTTCCCATTAAGATCTGAGCAAGAGGTCCTCTTGAAGACCTGTCCCTCAAGGAAGGGAAAGGCATGCCAAATAGGAGAAGGGTCTTCTCAGTGGCTGCCCCACATCTATGCAATAGGCTCCCCAGAGAAGTTTGCCTGGTGCCATCATTGCTTTTTGCTTTGGCATCAGGAGAAAACTATCCTTTTCTCCAGACATTTTAATAAACTGTTTTTATACATGATTTTACTGTTTATATTTCATGATTTGATAATTGTTGTCCTTACTCACCTTAATATAATAATAATGACCATTGTTAGGTTATTGTTACATTTTTATCTGGTTGGTTTTTACTAGTTTTATTGATTCTAATATTGCAATGTTTTAAATTCATTATATTTTTAATTGTTGTATGCTGCTTAGAGAGTCCTGCTGGACTACTTTGCGACATATAAATTTAACAAACAAATAAATAAATAAAAATCCAAAATGCAAGCCCAGCTGATGGTAGATACAAACATGCATGTACAATCATACACACCCCTTATAGAATCATAGGTTCAAAATTATGGAAGAAATGTTTCCTACAAGGTTTTTTCATTATTATTTTTCTACTTTATAACCACTGTGTATAATTCAAGTAACCTAAATTGTACTGGACTTGTGAAGCATAATTGGATGTTTTGATCAGAGGGTTAAAAAAGGCCACCGCTTCCAAATGAATGGGCAGTCAATAAAAGTAGAATCTAAACCACACCACAGTCTATCATCTGAAGAGACAAAGGAACACCCAGAGGAATCACTACCACCATTGAGATTAAATCCCGGCTTCTGGCAACGAAATGGGCTGAGGCAGTGAGCAAACTTCTGCTCCTTTGGGCAGAACTTCTAAGCTGCCCCTGTAGAAACCCCTCTGACTTGTCTATGCACTTGGCTATTACAAGGGCTGAGTTTGCATGAGAGGGCAACCCGTCCCGGCAGTAAGCCCACTGGCATGGCTGTTTCACAGAGCGCCCACTGTGAGCCCCACAGAACCATTGTGGGTACTTCACTCCCTCTCTGCTGCTCCTTCTTCTTGCTCCTCCAGGCAGTATCCCAGGAAACCCTGCAAGGAAGCACGTCTCCCGTCTCCCACTGCCACAACTGCAAACTGGTTTCAGTTTGCCCCAGATGTCTAAGAATTCTGCAACATCCCCAGGGCTTGTGACCTGAAGTGCAGCAACTTGCCGCTCTGCTTCTAGATCCTGTGTCAGAGTCATGGGCGAGGACAACTCTCCAATGGAACAGAAATTTCATCAGTTGACCTTGGGCTAGTCACTATTTCTTGGCCTAACCTAGCCCACAAGATATGATGGGATGGAGCATCATGCTGTACCCCATCTCAAATTCCTTGAATGAATGACGGGAGATAGATAGATAGATAGATAGATAGATAGATAGATAGATAGATGATAGACAGGGAGGCAGGTGGATTCACACACACACACACATTTAATTGACTTGCTTGATTCTACAAGCAGAGAGTAGCACAAGACTAACCTGCTGTGTGTTTTCCTCATCATATTTGAAAAGTATTATGACTGCAACCTTAGTCCTCATCTCTTTTACACAAGGCACAAATAAACAGCATTCTCATACCATTAAAATTCATAAGAGTTGCACAGCTCCTAATCTTCTGGCTCACTCTTCCTTTCAATATTTTCCTATATCCTGATTTATTTCTCTAGGTCATTGGCATGCATCCTTCATCACCAAGAGGCTGTGTCTACTCACCACTATTGGAAAAGGATACAGTAAAGAGCTGAACCAAGGCGACCCATCAGCCTACCATAAAGGGGGCAGCCAGATGCAGAAGACAACCAGGCTCCTACAGTTTCAGTAATTGTGGGAAAGAGAGAATTTCAGCGGGTTGAGTCTGCATAGGACTGCTGCAGAAATTCCCTCTATTCCAAAAACTGTGAAAGATTCAAGAACCCTGTCTTCTTTATCACCTTCTCCCCCAAGGATAAATATATACTCCAAAGGGAATGAAAGGACTCCTCTTGAAGTTTGATTGACCAATATATTGGTCTGTATCTATTATCAATCAGCAAATGGTCTCGAGGAAGCTCACAGTTGCAATACATAATCAAGCATGATAAAATCAAGAATTGGCATAGAAATGGCTCCCTTTTAAACCACTGATAACCTGAACAGGAGGTTAGCAAGTAAAACAAGGAATCCTCCAAAACAACAAACGTTATACTCCAACCCAGGAGACCCTCTGTTATCTCAGCTCTCCCTACTATTTTGTTCAGGCCACTTAGAGACAGCTACTGCTAGGTCCATGCAGCATGACTATCTGGAAGGCAGCATCAAGAAACACAACCCTTATATCTTTAGAAGACAACTTACTGGTGGCGCAAGTATCCATCATGGAGGTCTGCTCAGCTGTGACAGTTCCTTACCCCCACACTGTACTTCTTCAGAATTAAAGGAACAATAATTGAACGTGAAGTAACCCCAGAGGACTATGCTCACTGGAGACTCCACCCGATCTTGGTTCCTCTTTGTGCATTCAGATTGACAGAGGAAGCCATTTGCTCATAGTACAGAAATGAGTGCTGATAATATTTTGCTTGTTTCCTGAACAAAAACCCACAGCATAGCCACTGAGTCTAGAATGTGCAAGCAGACAGCTTTTGCCGAGAAGGGTCTTGAATTGCAAAATGTACTGTGCGGTACACCACCTGGCTTCAGCAGGCTTCACTGAGTTGTGAGGAATGATCACCTTAGCTGTTTGCACTCTGGATGAAGTAGGAGAGAAAGTACGTGGAGATTCCATACCTCCAATCTGATACCCTTCTGCTGTGTTGGATAACAACTTCCATTATCCTCAGCCAGCCTAACTGGAGGTTGTTGTCCACCACATTGAGAAGATACCATGTTGAGAAAGGTTTCTAGAATTGATTGTATGTTCAAGAGGTGATTTTGTGTTGTAAAATATATATCTAACTATCCTGCTCCTCAGATTCTGCACAGCAATCCAGTAGAGTAAGTTAAAGTTCTTTGTGTCCTGGATTTATGTTTCCCCAGTGCTTCCAATTAAAGCAATTTGGGACGTGGACTTATTTCTCAGTTTTGAGTCTTAAATACTTATATCTTAGTTTTTATTCTTCTGTTGCTCCTCTTTCCTTCTGACCATCTCTGTGCTGAGCAGGGTTAGCGCAAGAAGCATAGGAACAAGTCGAGTGCCATAATAAAAGGAGGAGCAAGCTTAGAGAACTCTTCTCAGTGGGCCTCCATTGAGGTATGGGCCCTTGGAACACGCCCAGTGCAATTGTGACAGATGTTGTAGTGGGCTGTTGTCTGGATCCCTTGTGTCTGTAGCACATCCTATCTTGATCCTGGCCCTTCACAGCTTCTTCAAGCTGGCCATGGGGGAGAGATCAGATCACATGGATCAGGGAGTGGTAAAGGCATCACTGCGTGATAATGCGGTCCCTACTGCCTTGAAGAGGAAGCCCCCTACCACAACCACCCCTGAGACCTGTGCTATTATTGTCCAGGCAAAATACCCCTTTCATGTTCCAAGTGCTTAGGAAAGTGGTGGTGTCTCAGTTGCAGGTGCTCCTGAATTAAACTGATTATCTGAATCCATTCCAGCATAGGTCCAGGCCCTTTAGGTTGGCCTGAGGGGTGACCTTCCTCAAGAAAAGGACAGGGGGAGACTTGCTTCTTCTTGATCACTGTGTAGCTTTTGATACCATTGACCACAGGATCCTTCTGCATCCTCTCCATGAATTTGGGATTGGAGACGCAACCTTATAATGGCTCAGGTATAACATTGCAGAATCAGTTGCAGGGAATAACATTGCTTGACTGTGCCTTAGCAGTTGAACTGTGGGGTGCCACAGGGACGTCATGGCTATCTGACCACTGGGAGTGGTCATTAGGTGATCTGAGGAGGTGGCACTGGTGTGCTGATGACATCCAGCTCAGTTTCTTTGTAATATCAGAATCAGGAGAAGTTGTGCATATTCCAAACTGATGTCTGGATGCAGTTGTGGGTTGGATGAAGGTGAAACAACTGAAGCTGTTGTCTCCTCAGAAGAAAGAGACCCTATAGGGAGGGTGGTTCCCAGGTCTAGAAACTGGGCTGTTTCCTTGTTTGGGATGATTTTCTGAAGGATGTTGTTTGAGGATGCCCCTACATCCATCTACATCACTGGAGGCTCAGGGGACTTCAGAGGCCCAGAGGAGCCATTGGTATCTACATCCTTTCCTGGGCAGAACAGCCTCGGCACAGGTACCCTCGCTCAGTAACTTCATGATAAGGCTACTAGGACTGCCCTTGCAGCTAGTGTGGAAGTTGCAGCTAGTGTGGAATGCAGCAGCTCAAACACTCAGTGGGACACCTAACTAAGTGCATATAAGATTTCTCTATGTGTGTGTGTGTGTGTGTGTGTGTGTGTGTGTGTGTGAGAGAGAGAGAGAGAGAGAGAGAGAAGGAGAGTTATAGATTAAGAGAATTAGCTACTTATCCACATTCACAGGTACAATGTTGACGTACAGACAAAGTGGCATGGCGGCCAGTGTGCTGGAGCCAGCTTGGGCGTTCTGGCTTCTACTCATCTCTTGGCCACAAAGCTCATTTTGAGCCAGTTACTGACTCTCAGCCGAACCTACCTCACAGGGTTATTGTTATGAGGGTCAAATACAAAGGAAAGGAATCTTGTCAGCTGCCTTGGGTTCCCTGCAAGAGAAAGAAAGATGGGAAATGTATGTAAAGTAACAATCATACAAAGCCCTAAACAGCTTGGGACCAGCACATCCGGCTGACTGCTCTCAGCCAAGTGTGAAGATCATCAGAGGAGGCTTGCTGGTCATTCTGTGACAAGGTTGCCACGAGGGATGTATCAAAGCTCTGCAGAATCTGTCCCTCTAGCATTTGTGGACTTCCTCTCACTCTTGGCCCTGAAGTGGCTGAGAAGAAGTGAGAAGAAGTCTACAAATGCTTGCAGAACGCACTCCAGCAGCTTGCTTCCACAGCATGGGCAGCAGCACTTACCAAGGCTGCTGCACAGGAGCAGCAGAAGGATGCTGCCTGCACAGCATTTGCGTGGGGCTTGATTCCTGGTGAATTGCGCATGAACACTGGGTGCTTCAGCAGGAACTTGGACTCACGGCTGCATCGAAATGAACTGGAGTCCAGGGAGCTGATCCAAGGAAATCCATCCATTTCTTGCCCTCAGGCTGATTCCTCACACATCCCTAGTCACATTCTCCCATACTTTTCAGGGGGCAGAAACTGCGGCATGTTTCAAATGCCTCCTGAAAATGCACATTGGCTTTTTTGACTTCTATGTAACTGTAGTTGATCATATGCTGATCCATCATACTGCTTTTTACAGTTTTGCATTGCTGCAGTTGTTTTTAAATTGTTTTAATTGTGCATTTTAAATATGTGTTTGATTGTTGTGGTTGACATTGTTTTTAATAGCATTTAAATATTGTATTAAATGTGATTTTGCTATCAGTATAGATACCACTTGGGCATTTTAATATTAAGTGGTATGTTGTTAATAAATAAATAAATAAATAAATAAATAGAAGATCCCCCATTGGTGGGCCAGGTTTGAGCCATCACAAACCTTATAGCACTTACATGGTTTATGCTGTTGTTGCTGTTGCTGTTCAGTACAAGACTGATGCAGCCTTCACATTCTTATCCAATAGAATCATGCTCATCTGCCCAAATACAGAATCTGGAAATCAGAGCCAGTCCCAACACTATGACAAATGCATCTCTGTGCTGATCATGTGTGCCTGCTCCCTGTAGAGAAATGCACATGCACAGGGTTTTATAGGACTGCATTTCTCAGGTGGGAAACAGCTCAGAGCAGCAATAGAGATGGAATAGTCCTTATAGCGTCAAAGGCCAGGATTCCTTCTGCTTTAGGCAGAAATTAGTCCTATTGTGTTCAATGGGACTGACTAGGCATAGAACGTGGCCATAGGTTGGCTGTTCCTTTCTATCTGAAGAGTACACATTTGTGCGTGGCTGGTTGGGACAGGCCAGGAGTTGTAGTCCAACACATCTAGAGGACACCAAGTTGCTGACAATTGCCCTAATTTATGTGCATTTTCTGGAAGAAGAGTTGACCCTACATTGAGGCAACTTATATTAATGCTGTGACTGAATCTTCCCTCAAGTGGTCCTTTGCTCCTTCCCAAAACTCATTCTACTGGGTTTTGAAATGCAATTTCATTTTGCTTCATTTCAAGGATTGCATTTTATTCCACCCAATAACCAAATCTCTCTATGCAGTTTGCAAAGATTAAAACCCTTGAAATACAGTGTGGTGCATGCTATAAAGAGCACTTAGATACAGACATGTAAACAGATCACACACACCCATTTTAACAACAGCCTAGAAGCACTCCCAAGATCTGAGCTATCCCATTCTCTGGATCTATGGCTGGAGAAAGCTGTACATTGAGTTCCACAAATTTTTACCTTCCCCCACACCGCTAGCATTCTACACTGCCGCAGTCTTGTTTCCAGTGAGTCAGAAGGCACAGCTGAGTGGAGCCAAGAGATCAACTATTCCCTTCCACTTCTCTTTAATAGCTTCCTCAAATGGCCAGGGCAGAAAACAGAAAATGCTCCGAGCTGATACTCCCCTTTTCACAGTGTCTTCCTCATGGGATCAAAAGACCTGAGCAACAGCGCCCCCAGCTGGACAGAAAGATGGAGGAGGAGGAAGAGGAAGAGAAGCAGCAGCAGCAAGAAGGGCTAAGCTCTGACTTCTTGGCTGGCAAATGGCTATGGCGAGGGCTGGCATCAAAGGTGGGAGTGAGGTTGGGCAACACCTCAGCAGGGGTACACTGGCAAAAGACCCCTAGAGCTGTTCTGCTTTATTGCCGTGGCAATGGGTTTCTTCGCCCTCCTCTTGCTCAGGCCTGGACAATGGCCATGAAGGAAAGGATGTCACTGGTTATTGGTCCCTGGCTCTCTCACTGTCTAGCAAGCTGAGGGCTGGGCCAACAGCATGAGCAGCCGGTGACTCACGGGGCATGGGGGCATTGCTCAAGGGTCCCCCAAAACCTGGACCCACACTAGCTATCGGCAACCTCTGGAATTCTCCACCTGCTGCTTCTCCATCTCCAGCTAACAGATTTTAGGCCAGTGATCAGAACAGTATAAAGTAACATTGTCCTCTCAGCTGATAGCAAACTTGATCTCTGAGTGTGGGCCAAATGACGCCCTCCACCCTTGCACAAGAGCAGTGAGTTTCAGAAAAGTTGGTGGAATTCCTTGAAGGAAAAAGGAGGACTCTAAATGGTGCTATACAATTCTAGAATATTTTCATATAAACCGCCTCAGCAGTTCTGCAGCTGGACACTATGGCCAAGGTTAAGATAGGACAGCTTCTATTTGAGCTTACTTGGTTAGCACTTGTCTTATACAAGATACAGAGATTGGAGGACAAGCCGACCAAGAGGAATGCAGTGAAGGGAGCAGCGGCAGCATCATTACTGCCCTATCACATGACTGTAAGACAGGCAGTGTGGTTTAGTGGTTAGAGACATGGACTGGGAGGTCTGAGTTCTGTTCCTCATTTGGCAATGAAGCTCACTGGGTGACTTCAGGACAGTCTCAGCCTAACGTACCTCATGGGGTTGTTGTGAGATAAGATAGAAAGGAGGAGCAGGGATATATAGGCCAACTTGGGTTCCTTGAAGGAACAAAGGTAGGGTATAAATACAATAAAAATAAGTGAATAAAATCAGTATATCATGTCCAGAGGCTGTATATAGTTGCAATGCTTATTTCCAAATACAATGTTGTACAAGTGCAGTATAACAATATCCCAGACATGCTTGGTCAGATTTGATCCTCCTTACAGGCCTTACAAGATGGACATGATGTCTGGATTCCTGCTTGGAATCCAGAATTGTTATATATGCAACATCTGAGATCCACACTATGTGACTGGAAACTGCCTATAGGAAAAGAAAGAATAGAATATGCCAGGCACATTCAAAAATTACAGATTGCTTCTGCCTGAAGTAGCCCTTTACCTTAACCAAAATAATACACTTCCAAACAGGTGTTTTGAAAGCTAATAACCCCCAAGATGCTCATTCCTAGAGATAGCTTAGATGCTGAGGCCACAGCCAGGCATTTGGCAATTTACAGGGAAAAAATATTCAAACATGATAAGGGCATAGAGAGCCAGGTCAGAGTATTCAACTGGGGACCTGGCAGATCTGGGTTCTAGTCCCCACTTGGCCTTTGAGTTACTCTGAGCCAAAGACTCTCAGCCTAACCTACCTCACATGGCTGTTGTTCTGAGGATAACAGTGGAGTGAGAGAGAACTATGTAAGCTGATGTGGGTTCCTTGCAGGAGGAGGAAAGGTGAGGTATAAATGTAATGTAGTGTAATGTAATCATCACCATCATCATCCTATGCATGTTTAGAAAGAAAAGATCTACCACTCTCAGCATCTCCCAGTCCGCCCTGCATGAGTTGCACCTTAAGGCCTGTAAGCTCCTGAATATCAAGGCTTATGAGCATCCTTCCTAGAGGAGATCAACCCTGACTGCTCTTTAGAAGGCCAGATCCTGAAGATGAAACTCAAATACTTTGTCCACCTAATGAGAAGGAAGGAGTCCCTGGAGAAGAGCCTAATGCTGGGAACAACTGGTGGCAAAAGAAGAAGGGGACGGCAGAGATTGAAGTGGCTAGATGGAGTCACTGAAGCAGTTGGTGTGAGCTTAAGTGGACTCCAGGGGATGGTGGAGGACAGGACGGCCTGGAGGAATGTTGTCCATGGGGTCGCGATGGGTCGGACACGACTTCGCGACTAACAGCAAATGAGCATCCTAGGTAAAGAATGAAGAGTGGCAAAAGGGAACTTCTCCTGCCCATCCTCCTGCCCTACATTTTCTGCTAAATGGCTGAATGAATGTTTTTCCCCCTCTTAGAGGGGAAGGGAAGAAGGCCAGAGTGCCTTCAAGATATCGCATATCCTGGCCTGCCCAGTCTCCTCCCTGCCCCCTGAAATTCCCTTTCCCCTTTTCTGAAGTTCCTTTCCTGACATCAGAGGAAAGGAACGTCAAGCCTCAGATGCCATCTGGACATCATAGCATTGCTCCCTAATTGTATGATAACAAAAATAGATAAAGCACATTTGGGAACTGCTTAACCACAAAACCCAGATGCTCATCAGGACAGCCCCAGCAGTGGTGTCCCCAAGGAGAATCCATAGTCAAGCTCCAGGATATATTTATTTACACTCTGTTTCCCTACTACACATACTTAAAGGGGCTAACAGGTGAATTTCTAGATAAAAGATTCATCATTAATCACAGATGCCCAAACCAAAGAAATCACTAATAAAATTTCGCAGTTGTTTCTGGGCCAGGAGAACAACTCTGTGTGCAGTTTTCAGAAGTAAGCTCCATTCGGCTCAGTAGTGTTTCTTTTCTTCTGTAGGCATTTGACTTGTGAAATACACTGAATTTTAGCAAAGATCTTTGACCTGCTGAAATGCAACCTTCTGATCATAATGAGGAATGCACATAACCTTGCACTGAAATGTTACCACTGCAACTGCTAACATGAAGCAGGAACACTATCAGAGAAAAAGAAAGAAATGTCTAGCTGCAGCTTGGTTTTGTTCCCCATTCTCTAACTTCTGCTATACTAAAATGCCACACATAGTGAAGTTTTATTATCACATTATTCACTTGCCAGAATACAGAGGATCTCTCAATTACCCAGGGGCCCTGGCAGATGTCATCCTCATTTAAAAAAAAAGAAGTCCAGAAGACATGTTTCCTCGCAATCCTCCTCTACAACATCACTGATAAAAAGAGAAAGAGAAAATGGAACTAATTTCTGCTAGCATAAATGTCTAAACATCTGAAGGCCAGAAATGTTTTCATGTTCTATCAAAAAGCTTATAGGAAAAGTAACCAAGTTAGCTGATCTGGGCAGGTTATTTCATGACCAGAGAACCTGTACCGCCGCCACCCAAAAATCCTGCCCAGAGGACTGTACATTCTTGCTTTCTAGACATCAGATCCTAGCTGGAATAAAACCTTGTCAGCTGAATTTGGGGCAGGAAATTTAGGTGTCCTGGACTCCGCATGGCTTCACGTGTGGCCCCCACTGCACCCATTACCACACTGCCAAAATTTGTGGCAACACAAATAATTTGGAGTTCAACACCAAAATGCAAGTTAAAGATGGCCCATTAGAATCTCTGATTTGCTGTCGAATTTTAGTGGTAGACTGCTCCTATTTTTGGCGTCATTAATTGCCAAATTTTAATGTTCCAGGAGTGGCAGAAGTGCAGTCCCCATCCTCCACCCCAGTATATTTGTTGGCAAGTTGGCATAGATTCAGCAAAGTGTACAAGCAGCACTACTTCTCTAGTGACTATAGAAGGGGAAATCCTTTCTCATCTTTGCTCTAGAAATGACACTTGCCCTGAGCCGAAGTGGGAGGACCAGTGGAAGGGATGGAATGGATGGGCAGGTGGGATAATGAAGGCTAATGGAGGCTCTTGAGAAGCGAGTGAAAGGAAGATTGCAGGGGAAAGCTCTTGAGCGGGCACTGGAAGAAAGATCCACAGACTGAAGGGCTTGTTATGGATGGAACAGGAAGACAGATTGATTGTAATTCTGCAATTACCTTTTGTGTTGAACAGCCACTGATGATACAATGCCTTGGAAAGGTTGCAAGTACTGTGAAAAGCCATGTCATTCTCAGTGTGTTAAAGGACATGATCCATCTGCCCCTCCACAGCCCTAGAATTATCCCATCATGGCTCTGGAGCTGACACATGGCCAGTGACTTGCAGTATTGTCTGATAATTGTTTGATATGATAATAGGTCACTGTGATGAGATCACGTAGTGCACTTACTAATGAACCCATTATTGAAATTATCACGTGATGGCTGCAATTATCACATGAACATCCTTGGTTAAAATTGAGCGACTTGCGTTTAAATGGATGGGGATCATCAGCACACCACCACTCCCTCCACGGTGTTCCTTGCCACCGTATCTTCTGAGTCTAGCACATGTGTCCATCTGTAACAGGGCTGGGCAAAACTTCAGCGTATCCAGGGCACACTTTCTGTACACACCTTGCAGGCCACACTCCTGCCAGTGCAGTCCTGCAGAAATCCCCAGCAGGCTGGCAAAAATAATTGGTGTTTTGCTGCTAAATGTTGATAGCAAGCCATTAAGTGAGGTAGAATTGCTGTCCCATCACCAGTGTTGAGGCAAGAGTCAACCAGTAATCCCATCAGCATCTGTAGCATACGGAAAGGTTTTGAAATAGTGGACTCTTGCCTTTCCCCCTCAGGCAGAAACATGTCTTGTGCCCCCTCTGGCCTTAAGTGGAAGTGAGAACCAAGAGTTGGTGTCAGCAGAAGGCATTACTGGGCAACTGCCAAGGTCCAAACTCTTAAAGGGGACCCATTGCTTACCCTTGCAAGCTCCTGGCCCTGCTGTTTCTCCCCCTCCTCTCTGTCAGTTCTTGTTCACCCGCTGTCTCCAAACGTGTAAGCAGTGACCAAAATTAGGAGATAAAGCAGCACCCTTTATTGGCTTTGTCCTCTCCTCTGGGCAATTGTGCAGGATGGATCCAGAGGAACACTGCAGGTGAAAAGGGACTGAGGACAGGAGCCTGGGGAAGAGGGACCCACTCAGGCCGGACACCCCCCTGCAAACCTGGAGCCAGCAATGGTGTTGACAGTGTTCTGGAAGTTTAAAGGACAATATTATACAGTGGACCATGGCCATTTTTTGGTGTCTTTTAAAACCTGGGATTCTATTTTTGATGTAAGCCATCTTCTCTCTGTCCAACACTTCTCCTTCTTCAGTATGGCATCAGAGACAGTGTTGAAGCCAAATAATTCCACAACCAGGTACCTACCCTCCACCAAAAAAAGTCCTCTGGGAGTGTGTGTGTGTACTTTCCTCTCCATCTGCTATCTGGATGGTTTTCCTAGGTGGAAGCTGCATAGCAACCTCGTCCCATACTGTCCAAGGCTTGGAGTCACAGAGTGTGATGAGAGGAAATTCTTAGCCATCTGGGGCATGCAAAGATAGAAATATCTTTCGAACGGCATGCCCTTCCCCCTACTAGCAAACAGGCACTGCTGCTGTTGGGGGAAGGGCGCAGTGGGCGGGTTGAGAAACATTTTCCCTTCCTTTTCCTCCCTAACCCACAACCTGCTGTTCAGCTCAGCTTCAGTTTTGACATAACCGCAGAAGACTTTTCTCCATCAACAGAAAGCCATTATCTCTGCCCAAGAGACTTGCTGGACTTCCTGACTCTGCTAGGCCATAGTCATGCAAGCCATTAAGTGTGTGGTGGTGGGAGACGGGTATGTATGTACCATTCTTTTGAGGATCAGGAGAGCATGGTGGAAGGGTCGACTCTGTGTGGACGGGCTGCTTGTCTTTGTGGAGACCCTCTGGGGCTGTGTGGGCATGCTTGCTTGATCTCTCCCTCTGCCCTTCAGAGAGGCCATGCTAGCAAAAGAAGGAACGGTGCTTTGCATCGCGGGTGGGGAAATAACACTTCACTCTTTCAAAATGGACCATAAAGACAAGATGTTTTCAGCTAATGCTTGCCGGTAAAAAAGTACGTGTTGTTTCTGAGCAGCATTTTCTGACAGAGCTACCACTGGTGGTGGAATTGGAGACAGAGTGAAGGAGACTGTTAGTCTAAGGCCACTTTCTTAAAGCACTCTTGGACAGATAGACTTTTCTCAGATAAGGAATGCATGCATCCTTCGCATTGATGGATAGTGAGCCTGGAACAATGTAGCGGACTTACAGTTGAATTAGGAATGAAGGTATGGTCCTTCGGTTTGTGATCATGTGCCTTGATTGTGCTTTCTCCACACTGATTAACCTGCAGAATACATCTGATCATTCATGGACAACACTTTGCATGTGAAATTAGTAAAACATTTGCTTCTAGAAGGCCTGGAGCATTAGCAGCTTGGAAGCTTCAAATGCAAGATTACAGGGCCCCTGGGGGTGGAATTTGAATGATTACTTCTTGATGTCACTACTCATGAACTAGCTGTGGCTTCAAGGGATGAAAGTTGTTCTTGAAAAATAGCTTAGCCATGAACCTTACTTTATGGAGGACAGTCCTCTATTTGAGGGCCTGTCAGAAAGCAGCCTTCTGTTGGAAGACATATTCTATTGGAAAGGCTGTCCAGTCAAAAGTTGAAGAACCCTCAGAAGGGAACTGGGCCTTGAGGTTTCCCATCAATACAGAGCACCGTGACAGTAGTCTATGCAGGCACACAGATCTCTGGTCACAATCTTCCACACAATGGAGAGGTGTACTGTATGTATAGTTAAAGTATAGTCATTATTTCTGAAGTTGGATCGATACATATAAATTAGTATATGTTCCTTGTGTAGTTTCTTTTGCACTCTTTGGGTGCGTGGGGGGCAGAGGCGGGGAGGAGATGATGCATTGCTTCTTCTTTGCAAATTGCAACTGGCCCAGTAGTTTGCCATTCAGAAGCAAAGGCAGGAAGTCATACAGAGAGCAGCTTTTGGGCTTGCCATCAAACTTCTGCGGACATACAGTGGGGTTAGGCCCTTGGCTTGTCACATACCTCTCCCTTTCTCGGTATTCCACCTTCTCTGTAAACCTACATTTTATCGAGAGAGAAGCCATGATCTAATGCCAGCAGAGTTACAAAAAGAAAGAAAGAAAGAAAGAAAGAAAGAAAGAAAGAAAGAAAGAAAGAAAGAGCAATAAAATGGAAACAGTGTGTGATGGGTTAAGAGAATTTGCAGTAAAGAGAGCTCCTCATTATGTTGAATCTTCACGTCCTTCCTGATTTCTTGCCCTTGGTGGCTTGAAACCATTTTTTCCTCCAATTGAAGTCAGTTCATTAAACACTTACTGCTTGTCTACATACGAGCGTAAAAGGCTTACCATCCTATGTATGTTAATTCAAATGTAACCCACTCCAAGTTTAGCATGGTACATGCTTTTAGGGGAAATGTATAGAACTGTACTATCAGTTTCCTGCATCTCAGGCAGGTTCTTTGCACACATCTGGTAAGAGCGGTACTCTTAGCAGTTAGGATGAAGAGAGAAGCCTGCTTTGAGAGTTTGAGCTCAGCTAGCGGTATACTGAGACAGGGAAATCTAGCTCACTTAAGCCCCGCAGATTTTCTGCCTGCTTTTGATCCAGTGATCAGATGAAGACTTAAACAGTTTCCTCCCACAGATTTCTCTCCAAGACAGACTGTAATTTGTACATTTTTTAATCTGCTAATGAGATTTGTGAAAATATGGATGCCAAAACTACACGATTCTTTCTCAGTTTGTACGAATTGTCTGATTCGTTCAAATCATAATTTGCACAAATATGCAATTCATGCAAATTGGCTGATTCTGCACAATTCATCATAAAGTCACAGTTTTGGGGTGCTTATCTGTGCAAATTAGTTGGTTAAAATGTGCAAATCTCAGTCTGTCTTGGAGACGGAAGTCTGTAAGGTAGCTCAGCTTCCATTACATAGCAAAGCAGCAGCAGTGCAGTGCTAATGAAGTAGAATTCAGAGTGTGAGCAAACTGTGAAAATCTATTGGATTTTCACCCCCCCAACCCTGGATTCCTTAAACTTCCCTAAGTTTAGCAGCAAACTTGTTCCCATGCTAGGTTTTCTAATGTGTCACCTGACCCACTAGCAAACTAACAACAACAACAAAAACCAAAATCTTTACAGCAAGTACACTCTGCCCTGACCCTGCAGCTTTAAAAGGCTCCAGAGAAGAAGTCTGAAAACGGACACACACATTGCCAAAATCAGAGTCTAAACAAGTCTAAAGTGGAGGGCAGAAACGTAACACAGTGTGTAAGATTAATTCTTCTGTGAAAGGAGTTGGCCTTCCCAACCTGGTGCTCACTCAATGGGTTGGACTGCAGCTCCTCTCATTCCCAGGTAGCATAGCCATGGGTACCAAGTTGGGGACTATGGGCCATGCTGAGACTTGTAGGCCTTTTTGTGTCATAAGTTAGCTAGGCTTGGACCTTCAATACCTTAATTCTTGCCCATTCCTAAATATGTTTCTCCACATATAAATGCAACAGATGTTGCTGGGTATCACTTCTGGTTAGGAGTGCATAGGATGCAAGCCTTAAAATAACTTGATGCCATCCAGATGCTGTGAATTCCAGTTCCCAACATCCCCTCTTGTTGTCCATGCTGGCTGCCCCCAAGCCAAGCATAACTCGGGTTGTTAACTGAGCAAGATTAAATGACTAAACCTACTCTTGACTCTCTAGAGACAGTGTGATGTGCAGACAAGCCTTATCACAACCCGGAGGCAGGGCTGGCCAAAGACTTTCCTGCCAGAGGTAAAGGGCGAGATAGCACCCTGCCTGACCGCATGGATAAAAAGCCACCCGACTGAGAATTGCATCTTTTTTTTTCAACACTGACAATATTCTTCACTGCACCCAGGGCAGCAAGCTAGCTTAGGGCGTATCTGATGCACCTAGCTCTGCCCTCCCGATGCTTCACTGCTGCTCCATGGCACCCGCCTAAAGGTGGGGCCAGCTGCTAGGGCAACAATGCAAGTCACAGGCATCTGCAACTAGAGTACCAGGACCAGGGATGAAGGCAGGGGATGGAGGTCTTAGGGACATGCAGTAGGGCCAGAGGCACAGATAAAGGCAGACACAAGGGTCAGACACCAGCAAGGTGTGGTAGGACCACAGGCAATGTAGAATCAGGAACAGGCAGGAGTCAAGGCACAGATGAAGACACTGAGGAACTTTCAGCAGGCAGAACAAAGACTTATGTTGCTCCAGCAAAAGTAGGCAGGGCCAAGTGGCCTTTTCTAACCTTCTTGAGGCTTTTCAGTTGGTGTCCCTGATTGCAGTGCTTCTAATCCTTGCAAGCACCTACAGGACTGATACCAGTTCTGAAAACACTTGTACAGTGAACCAGGCTGCTTGCTCTAACCAACCACTGAGGCAGCCATGTTGCTCTGCAAATCCTGACACCAGCTCTGCATGGAAATTTGGTATGTTCCCCTGCTAAAATCAGCACATTGTTATTAAAGTCACATTTGCAGGGGCCACTCGAAAACCTGGCAACCCTAATCTGAAAGAATCAGTACAAAACATATAAAAGAAACTTACCTGTGCAGTATCCCTCCACAGCATTGCTTGGTTTGCAATTTGCCTCCTTTTAACTGGGGGCAAAACTGATATGCCAACAGACTTTCTGCCAATGGCAGTGATCCTGTCCTTGTTTGCCTCTGCCAACGGCAGAGATCTTAGCTTGCCTTGCCATATCCCTCCCCACACAGTCGCTACTGACCTTCTGCCAACACTGAGATCCAAAATGAAGAGAATGCCCTGCCTGTTCCAGTGTGCATGGAGTTCTTGTTGAATACAAATTTGGATCTTATTGATGTGCTCTGCAGGGGATCCACATATTTTGACAGCTGCTTAATAACTGCAATTACTACCTGCCAGCACAGGTTGTTGGCATTGCCCTTTCCCGGGTGAACATGAGGAGTGCCTTGGAAATAGGTCCACTTAACTGAGATGCAGGGCTTCAGCATCTCCTCCGATCTGCATCAAAATGGTGGCTTTCAGATGAGCACTGGAATTTTGCTCTGCTCATCATCTAGGGACAGCAAAATAGAGTGATACCTCATCACCGTCAGTTCCCATGTGAAAGGCACCACTTGATGTAGAGGCAGGAAAGATTCTAGCTCATCATCTCTATGGGCAATCATGTTTGCACAGCATTGGTTGCCAGCCAAACTGCCATGTTCATCCAGGGCTGAGTCAAAATATCAGCCCTAACCTTTCAGGCCTTCTTGCAGGCTGTGTGGTTGGATCCCTGCACTCCACTGGTTTTTCAGGAAGTCCTATAAACACGTCCAAAGTTCACTCATTCTGCAGTATGCAGGGAAAGGAAAGGGATAGTTTCTTAGTGTCACCACGAAACTGCCCAAAGAGGGTCAACCAATGGGCAGTGAGAAATGTAATGACTTCATAATTAAATAAACAAACACAATCAAATTGTTAGGCAATTGAGTGACGCTCTCTCATGTTCTTTCACTGAGCTGAGGGGCATGACTAAGACGAGGAAGTGGCTGCCTGCTGCTTGCTTTGCCTTACAATTGGCCACCAAAGGAGTTAAACTGAGGGACATTCTTCATGGTTTTCTGTTGATTAAGAGCTCTTCTTCATCTGAATTTCCTTTAGCAGAGGCATTCAAGCAGCCTTCCCCAACCTGTTGCCCTCCAGGTATTTTGGATTATAACTTCCACCAGCTTGGCCCATGGCATCAGCCTTCAAAAATGCCCCGATGGCACCACATTGGGAAAGGCCGCACTGGAGCAACATTATCAGGGAGAAACAACGCAGGGAAGACATTCTCCAAGATTTGGGGACATGGAGGATGGGATGAGGCTTTATACCACTTGGACTCCTGCATGTTTTCTTCATGTGGATATTATAAAGTTTGTGTCTATTCCTCCCATTCCCAACTTCCCACCTGCCAGCAATGTTGGACACCACTCCCATCATTCCCAGACCATTTGTTCCTGGATATGAGAATTACAGTCCAGCACATCTGGAGAACATCTGGTTGGGAAGGCTGGTCTGTTATTTCTCCTTCTCTTGGGTGCTTCTGAACCATACCAAGAATATGGGCACTTTGTACTTTAGGAAATGCAACCCAAAGTAACAGGACTCAGTAGAAAAATGGTGCTCTAGTCAGTGACCGAAAATGGACAGTGTTATGTTCTTAAACCTGTTGTGAGCAGTATCCAAAGCTCCTGGCTCTTGTTCATGGCAATGCAGCCTTGGGATGTTCAGTTGGACATTTCGTCTATCCCTGTCTTGTCTGGATAATGCAAAGCAGAGACAGCTTTGCTGCTAGATGTTCACTTATGACTGATAAGCCAGATAAGATGTTTGGTGGCTCGAGAAGACCTCTGCGAAAAGCCTGCTTCTCATGTTGGTAAATGTTTGAGTGTCATACTGGGTACTGGACCCAGTTAAGTTGCAAAATACTTTCTTGGTTAATAATGTTTTGTGATCAGAAGTTGCATTCCTGCTATATTGGCATTTAAACTGGCAATTGAGGGTTATATTTAATTGTTATTATAATACTTATTTATGATCTTATTAATGCTGTGTGTTTTATCTAGTTTAAGAACATGTGTGTTCGTTTGAGTGTTTTAATAGAAATATCTTCATATTGCAAATGAATGAACGTATGACATGAATTAATGAAAATGATGACATCTTTTCATGCTATCTTTTTAGCTTTGACTATTCAGTGATAAAGCAAGGCAGGGCAATGCTATCCTTTCCTTTTGGGCCTTCCTTAGGCCAGAGGGAACCTCTTACAAAAACATGTACCAAGTGCTTTTCATTTTCTTTCTTCAAGAGCTGTAGGTAAAACCTGCCTCCTGATCAGCTATACCACAAATGCCTTCCCAGGAGAATATATCCCTACTGTGTAAGTAAAGTTACAGGGGCGAGGTAAAGGGTTTGGAGAACAGTTTTCTGAGCTCCATCCAGGATTAGACAAAATGTATCTGTTCTTTGTCATTTTTGCACATGTTCAATCATTTCATCCAATTTCCACATCAGTTTACAATTTTAAATAACACACATGCATCTTTGAATGTATATAAACAACTTTCCCTAACATGCATTGTGTATATGCACACAATTTCCTAACATGCAGTGTCACCCAAGAAGTTTATTTTTGTTTGCAACTCTTCCTAATATAAGCATTTTGGTTTGAGCAACATTCAGAGAAGGGCAGAATCTGAAGGACACCTGTTTTAATCAACATATTAGATGAGGAACTGCAAATTAGGTTAGTTTACTTTAAAATGTGGGCCAACAAAACAAGCCCCTTCCATTGCTAGCCCCATCTTGCATTAGTCTGGGTGGCTGCAAGGGGTAGGAAGGGAGGGAGGAAATTCTTTCTGTGAAACTAGCTAAAGCTAGTTCCCCCGAAGAGTCCCAAATAAATACTTCCTGTTCCGTTAAACTTGAATGACCCAACACATATGCCCATTACAGATTTGATAATTACTCTGCCAATGTGATGGTGGATAGCAAACCTGTGAATCTGGGACTCTGGGATACAGCTGGCCAGGAGGACTATGACCGCTTGAGGCCTCTCTCCTACCCACAGACGGTGAGTTCTGCCAAAACATTTTCCCCTTGTCTTCTTATATACATTTTCACTGCGGTTTTGTATCACATCTGCACTGCAGGAGGTAGACTGTGAGATTTCCAAGTACGTTTATCCATCTCAGCTATCAATCAGAGCTCCAGAAAGCCTTGTTTCTACTTGTCAAATGAAACTGGTGTGCTCAGTTCTTTTAAGGAGATTTTCCAAACCCCAGAGTTCAGACCTGGATGCAATATGCAGTTGAAATTCATATATTTCCAAGTTCGCAGGGTGATTCACATTTTGTTAAATGTGTTCAACAGTGTGTGAACATTTGGGAAATGCAGCTGAAAAAGACATACTTTTGAAAAATGCACAGAAAGATTCTTTAATCAATGAGAGGAGAATGCATACATTTCAAAGATGCACACAATTCATATCTTTGGGAAATATGCAGGAAAATGTATGCAGATTTTCATGCAAACACCAATAAAGCTTACAACCTGATACAGATTTGAACTGAAACGTGCTCTATATTCAAACAACTTCAATGAGCTCAAGTTTAGAATGAGCTCAAGTTTAGGGCAAGTATCCAGAGCATCCGCTGTAGTGTTGCAGGGCTGACTTACCACATTTTGAACTAAGTGAAGCAATACACCGAATCATTGCAGGTGGGTGGGGAGAAGGCAGTTTCCTGTAAGGCTACTATGTCCTGAGTCTAATTGTGCCGCTAACTGAGTTTAGAGGTTGAGTAAGTGGCCTTCCAGGATGTCAGTATTATGTATTAATAGGTGCTAATCAGATGCAAAGGGAGCAACACAAGAGAAGAGAAGCAAAAAGCGATCCCAAGAGGACACTTTTATAATTGAGGCATAAAATTCAAATGAGACCTCACGGTATATAAATATATCAGAATAAGCTGAGCAGTTGCCAGTGCTGGACACTTTAATTGTCCTCTAAAATCTGCTGCCTAAAGTGGGCTGCTTCTCCCAAATGGCCAGCCTAGCCTTGCGTCTAAAGAGCAATGGTGCCGGACTCTACTGCCTTTGAGAAAGAGTTCAATCAATGCATGGAGCTTTTCATGATGCTCATTCTGCACACCTGAACTTGAGGTTAGCTCATGCTAAGCCGCTGCTGCATCCCAAATCTTGCCACAACACAACTGGCAAACCAGTGATGGGGGCATGGTGAATGGTTCACCAGTTTTTCTTCTGCTGGACCTCAGCCATTTCCCTCTCCCAGTGATTTTCATGGAAGAAGAAATCCCTAAGTCAGCCTGGGGTTGGCCTCTGCTTGGGGCCTCAGTGGGAAAGGACAAACCTTGTATCCAATGGATGAGACCAACCATTACTCTGTCTGACACACAGCAGGTTCTGGTTCACAGTCTCTGCTGGTGTTTACCAGTGGGAACACCTCTGATGGTAGCATTATGCCTATGGAGTTTCCCTGTGGAGCTTTGGAGAGATCCATATGGAATTCCTCTACAATAGTGGAAGGGGACCACCAGAGCACCACAAGACCCCCCAGTCAACAGATCTGGGAGCATAAGCTTTGGTGTGCCTCCTTCCTTTTTTTATGTTCCCATCTCCTCCCCTCAACTTCTCACAGACAGAAAAGAGACCAGGGTTCTTGAAACAGTGGAGTAGAAGAGCAAATACAGGCCACTGTGGCACCTCTGCAAGAAAAGCAGCAGTAAACAAAATCTTCTTCCTCCTTGTTAAAGGCTGTGACTGAAGCTAAATTGAAAATGATTTTACGCTTTTATACTTTTTGGGCAAATCCTTTATGTGGAGGAGAAAAATGAGGCAACATATGTTTTAAATAAAATCAGTAAATATAAAAGTTGCAACTGGTAGTTGGCAAGATCCCCTGCCACCTGCCCATTGTAATAATTGGCAGGAGGCTAGGAAATGAAGCAAAAAGTTCTCACTGAGTGTCATCACTCAAATTTTTAATTATACTTGATTGGTTACATGGTGCTATGACAGCACCATGCTGGTGATAGGATCCCTCATTGGCTGAGCCACATGGCTAGCAAGATTAACTATTCTGTTAAAAAAAACACATTCCCAAGAAAAAAACAGGAGAGGAATTGTGAGAAGAGGCAAGATGTAGGAGGGCCTTCAGGGCACTTTTTTTCCTGCAGAAATGCTTGCAAGCAAAAATGTGTACCATTAAAGTCATGGGAAACCTATCCTAGTTTGATTGTCTCTTTGAATCGTGGTGTGGATAAGCAACAGCAATAACTGGTATTTATTATCGACAGTGCAGTCCCATGAGAATGCTCATAACCCTCTAAGCTCAGAGGTTGCCCAGCATCTGTGGAAGGCAAGAGGAGCACCAAGGTGAGGTTGCCTCTGTGCTTCTCCAGCCATGCAACTGGCCAGCTGCACATTTTGCCCCACAGCACAAGGAGAAAAGGCTGAGGCAGCACCAGGAAACTGCCTGTACCGGCAGAGCCTGCCTCCTCCCCTACCCAGCCAATTTCCTGCCCCAAAAAGCTTGTCTCCAAGATCCCTTTTGCAACCTCAGAGCAAAAGTCTCCACACTTGTTTTGGTGCCAGCTGCAAGAATCTATTTGGATTAGTGGGGAGCATACAAATTCAAAAAGAAATAAATAAAAAATAAAGCAACTAAAATAAGGGAAGTTGCTCTGAATTTGGAGTCCCAGCTCTGACCTTGGAGCTAGTTTCTGAGATTCAGGGTGGGACTTTGAATTATTTTATGACCATCTAGATAGTGTTTGGCAGCCTTAGGATTGTACCCAAAGTATATGAGTTCCCTCATCTGTAATAGTGAATTAAATCCAGAGATTACACAGAGGAGCAAACAGGGCTGAAGTACTATGCTACATTTCACAAGCTGCAAGGTGAGGAATATTAAGCAGTGAGAGAAAATCAGATGTCAGCACAAGGTAGGTGAAGGGAATGAACTAAAACCTTTAATTACATTGCTAATGACAGAAATGAGATATGGTGTGCGCTGAACTCCCAGGGAAAATAAATAGGTGTAACACTGTTTTCATATGCATTGAGAAATACTGAATGATAGTAATTAGGTAGACACAGAGTGTCATGGGCACACCTCTCCCCCTTCTGCCTTTCCCACAGGTGCAGATGAAAGCTTTAGAAACATAGCCCTTTATTGGAGTTCAACAAATTCATAAGCAGAATAAATTCAAGTAACTATTCCGTATGATACGTGGGAGTAGCTTCTGCCCATGTGAAGAGCAGAATCCAAATTGAAAGCCTAACTCCACCCTCATGGCTCATGCCTAGTTCCTTAATTGATCTGCTCATTTAGCCTGTCATCTTTTTACAGGGTCTAAGAATACCCACCCCCTTGCTTCTACCCCTCCCTAGGCTACAGTGTCTTCCTTCTTTCTCAAGATGGTTTGCTTCTCACATGTTGTTCAGTAATCTCGTTCAGTAAGCTTGACAGTTCAGGGCTATCTGCCAACTCCCTCCTTCTGAGAATCCAAACCAGCTAGCTGGGAATGTTGTATTTTGAGAGAACTGGGCCTCATTTCCACACAGAGACAGCTCTATTAGTCAAATAAGACCTCAATTCTTGTGCAACTTTAGCAGAATCTGCAACTTGGTAAGGAGAAATATGAAGGACTGCTGTATTTCTCAGTAGGAAGCAACCCAAAAAACCTTGGTCAGCCCCAGGGATGGCTTGGGACAGAAGAATTATGAACCTCTCACTTCTTCTGGTTCTCTTGGAAGTTCTCAGCTCTGTGCACCAGGCTTCCTTTCAAATCACCCAGCTGGGTTAAGTTTAGGGTGGGATGATGTTATGGTGTTTCCAGTTCTGTGTGGCAAGTTGGACTGAGGAGATGGTGTTTGGGAATGTCTGATCTCCTTCACAGACTTCAGTCTCCTTGGTTCTACAAGGTTCCATCTCCCCCCACCCCACACTTTTTAACATCTACATGAAACTTTTGCAGGAAATCAAGCAAAGGGTTTCACTACAATCTCACCACTATGTGGATAAGATGCAGCTCTACCTTTTTTTCCTGCCTATTTGTCCCATGAAACTCCTGAATGTGTGCTTACAGGTAGTTTAGGGATGAATGAGGGTGAAGCTTAATCCAGAGAAGATGGAAGTAATTTGGGTACAGTAATCTGATGTGGATACAGTAATTCAACTAGTACTGATCTCCCAAATCATCCAGAGATCTACTGATAGATCCCAAACTACCTTCTGCTCATCCCTGTCCTAGAGAAGGGGCCTCTTACTTTTATTACCACCATACAGTCTTGTTCAGTTTCTCAGACCTGTGTTCCAAAGATGGATCCCTCTGCTTTACCCATGCCCTGCCAGGCACAGTGGGAGAAACAACAGAGGAGAAAATGCCTCCCATCCCTCTTCTCACTTTTTGGTGGCTTCCCTGGGGTCATGCAGAGGCCGAAAGATCCTGCAGACCCACATCTTCCCTATTCTCTGTCTATACCCTGACATGCCCCTTCCTACCTTCCCCAACGCTCTTCTGAGAATGCAACAGCAGTGAAGCCGCCAAGGAACCGGCTGTGATGGCTGCTAAATGTAGAACGTGGGAAAAGTCCTATTCAAATTTCCCCTTCTGAGAATGTAGCATGGACTGAGTTCACACGACAGAGGAGTACTTGCTGAGGAATGACTGATAAATCCAGCTCCAGGGCTTGTAGACCATCCCACAAGGCAAGTTTATAGACCACTCCTGGGCTTAAGGTGCTTTCTGAGCCAACAGCACTACAAGTCCACCATGGCCAAAACTGCTACTGAGCTATTTGGCAAGAGCAGCCAAGAGGCTTGCCACTCTTGCCAAGCAGCAGTGGATCCGGGCAGATGACGGCTGCCCCAAAGTATCCAAGCAGCACAGCGGGGCAGTTGTCAGAGGCACCACACATGGCTGCCCCATGCTGCTGCCAACAGCAGACATGATAGCAGTGTGAGCAAGCGTATTTTGCTGGGATCAGCACTGGGCCGCCATGTTCTTGCCTACTGTTCAGGGCAGGAGGGATGGCAGGGAAGAGGAGGATGCTTCATCCAGCTAGCTGGAGCAACTCTCTTACCACCGCCTCCCCTGGTCTAAAACAGCAGGCAGGGACAGCAAGGAGGAGGAGATCACTCCCACTGGACCCACCAGGATACCTGCAGGCAGACTGAGCAGGGAAGAAGTGCCTCAGGACCTCTCCTGTGCTGGATCATGTGCTGGGTATTTTGGGAGGGGCCGGCTAAGTAGCTACATGGGGGGCTTCCAAGCCACTCTGGGCTTCAAGTGTTGCCTGTCTGCAGCCTCAGGAGGAGAAATCTGCTATATTCTCCCTCTGGGGTAGACATGCTCTCTGATCTCTGCTTCTGCATTTGGGCACTTGTTTTGTTCCTGTCTTCAATATTTTAATGCAACCCTCTTTTTCTTATGATTAGTGTATTTCTAGTTGAGCAGTTTTAAAGAAAGAGATGGTTAATCCCCATTAAAAGCTAGAATCAAGCTCTTATTTTATAATGCAGCTAAGTTTGTAATGAAAACCCATTGGAGCATGCAAATACTCATTTTGGTGCATATTATATTATACATATTCAGGTTGTTTTATATGATTTCTATATTGTTTATAATTAACATTCTTACATATTCTTGCCACCTTATTACAAGTTAGTGGGGGGGTATAGTGGCCTACTTTACTGGGTTGTTATAAGGCTACAGAGATGCTGGGGAAATGCTTGGAGTACCTGCCAAAGAATTATAGCACTTGGTAAATTGTATTTCACAATATGGGACTTCTGGGGCAGTAATTTTTCCAATGGATGGTGATAATCGTAATAATTTTCTACCTACAGGATGTCTTCCTCATCTGCTTCTCCTTAGTCAGCCCTGCATCTTATGAAAATGTCCGTGCCAAGGTAAGACCATCCTGAGGTTTGAGTGGCAGAGAATGAGTGCAAAGCACATGAGGCCACGGTTGGGATCTGCTCTAGGAACAGCTGCCGTCTGAAAAACATAGAATGTTTTGCTGACTGTTCTGATCCCCTCAAAGGGATGGGAAATCCCTGGCACACAGGGGGCTCCCATCCAGTTCCTGCTCTTTGAGCTTAGTGGTCTATAATTACAAAAACAGAGCTAAGGCCTGAGGCTGATGAAGGCCACCTTCTTTCCTCTGCATGGCACGACTGCTGAGATCCAGCATTAAGAAAGGGCTGTGCCACAATTGCCACTGAGACCAAGACAAGGCCCAGTAGCATCTAGTGCCGCTGTCAAGAAGCTGCCCAGTGCTCAAGGCTGCTGCACACTCCGCCTCCTCCTCCTCCTCCTCCTCCTCACCTGTTGTTCCTTCTCACCCACCTGTCTGCAGAATGTGGACTTTAACTGTATGGCAGGATGGACATGGCAGAAGAAAGAAGAGAGATGATGGGACCACCTGTTACAATAGGGGCAGGCATCAGAATAGTGTATTCGAGGCAATTTGGGTCAGCCATGGTCAGAATGGAACTGATACAGGAGCTCATAAGAAGGTCTCCTGGTTGCTTGTGTTTCCGCTGCCTTCAAGCAGCTGTGTTTTGATAATTTTGGTAAGAGAAATGCAAGAGAGTGAGCATAAAGTGACACACATACCCCAGAGCAAGCTTCATTTATATTTATTTACTTACAAGATTTATAAGCTTCTTGTTTTCCCAAAGCAGCATACATTTTCTAAAAAGTCTTAAAATCGAAATGAAGTGGTAACAAGACACAACGATAACCAAAGAATGATAAATATTGTGTCTCCGCCAATGCATTTTATCATGATAGTTTGTTCGAAGGCATGTTTTGATTTATAGAAAGAAAGCTGTACAAGGCAGCTTTCTGAAATTTGGGAACATTTTTTATTAACCTCATTTTGGCAAAGTCCCAGGAGGACTACATTGTAGGTCTATTTATATATAAATTGCTCAACAGAATGTGAATCTAGGGTATGCCAGTTAGCCCAACATGTGGAAAGCAGAACATGGTCTGATGAACCTGGCAAACAATTCTTGTATGTGCAAAAGCAATTGCTAAGCAGGATGTGTTGGTACAAATGGGCAGCATGATTTACTGTTTCCTCCCATCTTCCCCTGTCTTTTGCCTCACTCCTGCAAAACCTTAAATTTCTCTCTAGTGGTTCCCTGAAGTGCGACACCATTGTCCCAGCACTCCTATGATCCTTGTGGGCACAAAGCTGGATCTCCGGGATGACAAGGACACCATTGAGAAGCTCAAGGAGAAGAAGCTAGCACCCATTACCTACCCACAAGGCCTTGCACTGGCCAAGGAGATTGGTATGTCACAGTGAGATGGCCCAGTTGAACCTGTGCTAGTTAAAATGGTGGAAGCCCTTCTGACTTGCAAAGATCAGATGCAGGCAGGTACCCACAGTAATCCTTAAGCCCAGATGGTCCAGGTCTCCAGGCGGAGGAGCTGCAGCTCAGGGGCACAGCACATGTTTTGCAGGCAAGAGGACCCAGAGATTGGAGGGGGGGGCGGATTCTGCTGCAAACCCTGGAAAGCTGCTGCCAGACCTTGCTGACAATACTGGCTAGATGGACCTGTGGCCCAGCTTGGTATTCAGCCATTTCCCATGTTCCATTTGTTTGTGTTATGTCATATAGTCTGGGAAACTACACTGTTTCTTCTTGCTACTCTGTTTTTCATTGGTTTGTTGGCTTGCTTTGCCAAAGTGTGACTAACAGTAAAAAACAGAGCTGAAGGAGGAATGGGTCAGAATTTTACTCTGACAAGTTGTTTTTGTCTTGTTTGGGTTTGTTAAAAAATAATTTGCCTATTTTGCACATCTCAATCCTATCAGCCAACTGAGACAGAGTTATGTTCTGAAATCTGCATTTTTACAAGCTTTCCTCTGTGGCTCAACTCAGGTAAAATGTGCAAATTAAGGGAAAGTGCAAACAAGATGCATATATTTGAGTACAGCATGCATAAGGCAGCATATCGGCAATGTAAGTTAACTGGAAAATAAAAATACACACAAAATACACACATTAATGTATATATTATAAAAAACATGCATTGCAAACAAGTCCACATGAACTTCTATACAGATTTTTTAATTGTTAAGTGCATACTAAAATAGGAAGGAATGAGCTTGACCTACAGATAAAGCAATCTCAGCAAAATGGAAATTGACAGATCAATGCATCCTAATTCAGACACTGTGGTTTCTCCCACTCCTCTTTACCCCATTCATTTGCCCTTTAGCTCCATTGCTGCTGCAGGAACTACTGGGCACTGTGTGGAGACTCAAGGCCTGAAAAGCAGCATCAACACAAAGGCAGGTGATGCAGATAAACTCACAACACTCGCATGCATGCAAACGTGCACACTTTTGATGCAGCAGTGCAGCTCCAGATGGAAGATCAGGTGTTTTGCAGATCACACTGAAATTCCTCTGCAAACCTGTCTCTGCATAGGGAAATTTCAAAAGTGGGCTCCTTATGAAATGGATCTCCCTTGTAAAATATTTTCAGCCAAAAAAGTAATACGAGCTCCCACTTTTCACACAAGGGGACACATCATAGCAGATACCCCCTTTGTGGGTATGACGCAGGGTATCTGCAGATCTGTTGCCAGATGAAAAATTCAAGCATAACGGATGCATTTCAACTGTTGTAATGTCTGGAAAGAGGGATGTTTTTCATTATGATTGATATCCTTTTATACTGCCAGGTAAGGTGTGCCATCTGCAGTGAGTCTGTAAGGAAATGCAAGCGGTGGCAAGGAATGAGGCACAAAAGCAAAAAGGAATCAGGCAGCACCTTAGCCTTGCCCAAGCAGGTCCCCCCGCAGATATTTTGGGCTGCAGCTCCCAGAATTTCTGTCCATTAGCACGCTGGCTGAGGCTCATGGGCACTGAAGTCCAAAACGTCTGGAGGGCACGAGTAGGGGATATGTACTTCAAAGTTTAATAACATTCTGATTTAGGGTTTCATGGCCTAGAGTTCATCAGATGGATGAGCGAGGTTCTAGAGCTTCAGGTTTGCCTTCTCCTCATTCTCTAAGAAAATCCAGAGGTCAGGTGAGATGACCAGCTTAGGAAGTAGATGGAGGGATTTATCTATTTACTAAAACTAAGCTGGAATGTGAAGGCTGGTAGATTTTTTTCCTTCTGATTTGACACTTCAAAAAAATTCATGCAGCTGTAAAGGAAGCTAGGTCAGCAGCAAAAGATTTGGTGGGCTGGGGCTGGGCCAACCCTACCATTAGGCAGAGTGAGACCATCTCCACAGGTGGCAGATGTTAGGAGGCTGGGTCTAAGGAGGCAGCTGCCTGCCCTGCAACCCTCCAGCTCTCTGCTGCCTTCAGGTACCCACAGTGCTGAACTAAGTTTCACTAAGTTTGTCCATGGATTGGGAGGGGCAGCATCTTGTTTTTCACCTCAGGTCACAAAATGTCTTGGGCCAGCCCTGGGGTGGGGAGGAGGGCACTTCTCAGGCAGTGATTCCCAGGGCCATGGCAGCAGATTTCCTTGAGCACTGGCATCCAGGTGAGGTGGTCCCCAGTATAGGCATATTCAAAGATGCTGCTTAGTCCATGCTTTTAAATGCACAGACATAATTGTGCTTTCTAGACTAGAATGTGGTTTGCAACCTCAGGAATTCACTTTTCTCTGAAGTGTACAGTTCTTCACACACACACACACACACACCAGAATGTACGTTAGGGGGAAATGCATTTGAAAATGTGTTTGGGAGAAAATATGTGCAGAAATGTATGCTATTTTTGTGCTTTAAAAAGAAAAGCTTTTCAGCCTCATGCAGAAACTGGAAGGGATAGAAATACGGTTGAATACATGCGAAACTGACATGCACCAGAGACAGAATGACCCATCTTACGCTGACCCCACCACTGCAGATTCTTCCACATGCTCCCAGCTGAGCCAATTTGCATTGTTGTGAGCACTGGAGCTACTGATATTAGCAGCTTTCTTCTTTTTCCTCCTCACCTACCAATACCCAGAACTGGTTGTGAGCCGCCCTGAGGCTTCGGTGAATGGGGCGGTACAGAAGCCTCCTAAATAAATAAACAAACAAACAAACTGGTCTTCAAGATCTATCAGCTGAAATGTTGCTCAACCACAGTTTCCTTTTCCTGCCTTGTAATAACCAGTGAAGGCAGATGGTTTATTCTAGCTCTTTTAAGGCCCTCTGCTTTTCCTGAACTCCAAGACCTAAGTAAGAGAAAATGGTAGGGTATGCATGGTGGAGTAAAAGGATAGATGGCATGCCTGCTATGGCAGCAGTGGAAAAACTGGCTCTCTGGCATACTTAGACACAAATACCTGGTTCTGGTCCGTAAAATAGCCCCTTCTTAGCCAACCTAGTTTTCTCCTCTTCCAACATAATAATAAAGCCCCTAATCTGCCATAGCCTACATGACAGTACACTGCTTTTTTCCTTCTCGACTATTTTGGCTGCCTTCCAATTCAGTGGAGTATCTGCTGGCATAGGACAGGATTTCCCAGCTTGGTGTCCTCCAGTTGTTTGGGACTTCTGTTCCCACCAGTCAAGTGGCTAATGGTCAGGATAACTGGAAGCTATATTCTAAGCCAAATGGGGCCACTAGGTTGGGGAAAACTGGCATAGATCCACTTGTGAAACATGGGGACCAGAAAATATTTCCACTGGAATCCAGTTTCAGATGTCAGCTTAACTTTTCTTGTTCTGAAGAGGGTAAGGACAAGGAATATACCTCATGGTGGCCCGTTGCACCAGTTGTAAACAGAAGGAATGTAGCAGCAGAGAAAACCAAAGGGGATATCGTTTTGCATGCAACCTGCAAATGCTGGTTTTCAGAAAGAATCACTGAAATTGAAGTAGAAATATATCTACAATTCAACATAGTGCAGAAGCTTGGCCAGGTGGCTTGCCTGGCTGGCTGGTCTGCAGTCTGGGTGACAGCTGTTCATGGGCAACTTCCACGCCCCTGCTAGAGCTCCTGCTTTATGGATTTTTCATCCTGCTTCTTGGGGCTCTGACTCCCCTGACTCACATCCTGTTGTGCGATTTATACAAAAGCAAACTTAGCATCTAGTTCTTCTATGCCATTGTCAAATATAACTAGTCAAAAAAGTCCCCAGATTTCAGCCTCCTGCCTTTTACAGTTTTCTCTCTATAAACAGTTCTTTCTAAAAATTTGCCTGGGGTAACACCCCTCCTTAATTTGCATAAGATGAGAATAGTTTTCTGGGGTATTTTTATACCCCAAACAAAAGATCCCAAGCAAAGGAACAAATAAAGTTTAAGTGCAGATAATCTTAGTCTAGCTTGAAAGCCAAGTACCTAGGCTACAACCTGCAGCAAACAGAATTAACATTGAGGGAAAGCTTTCAAAAAAATCATGGTTAAAGGTTCAAGGGCATTTGAAGATCAAAAGGTTATGAATTGTTTTGCAAATTTCATTGTTAAGCTTTCCTGAGGTTATGCCTAAGTCTATTACCTGTACTTGCTAAAAGCCATTTTTTATGCTGCTTGAAACTTCTTTTGGGGGTGAGGGGAAGGACACATTCAACCACAACAAAGACTTTTCATATGGCTTAGGGATTCCTCCTTCCCTGGAGCACTTTTTTCTGGGGTAACAAAATGCCCCCAGATGCAACCAGTGCTAAATTTAATTTAAATCCTGGATGATTAAATGAGCATTGCACTGAAATCCCTTCAATTAAATAGATTACTGTAAAGTAGGAGAGTAGGAATGTAATTTCTACCTGCCCCGCCCCCCCGCCAACTTCTGTTCCTCCACAGAAATTCATTAGGCTTGCTTTTTCAGCTGAATTTACCTAAATGGGCACATTTGAACCAAAATGTCAACTGAAATTCAGTTAGCTTTCAAAATCAGCACTTCCTAATTTTTGCAATGAAGTTCTCCAATTAAAAATGTGTGTGCAATCAGTGTATCTAGGGAAAGAAAATACAGAAATGCCTTTAGTAGTAAAAGTGCAATAGAATGTGTATTGGGCAACCCTGTGTACAAATTGCTAGGAGAAATGCACACAACAAGGCGTACAGATTGTCATGAATAGGTCTCAAAAAGAAATCTTTAAGTCCAGGAAGAACTGAATCTAAGGCTAGAAAAATGAGAAACTGATCTGCCCATCCCTGCTGCTTTCTTGTTAGTGGACCCCCCTGGGCTCTGGAGCCTCAGCCATTGCCTACAGTGCTCAAAGTGATGGGCATTTTTGTTCACAGATGCCGTGAAGTACCTCGAATGCTCAGCACTGACTCAGCGTGGCCTGAAAACGGTGTTCGATGAGGCCATCCGGGCAGTTCTATGTCCACAACCCACAAAGACGAAGAAAAGGAGATGCCTTATCCTTTAAGGGTAAGCAGCGTAGGGCTTCTTTTCCTTGAGTATGCATTTGCAATTGCAATGAGCTTTCTCTCTGGAAAACCTTAGAATCCCAGAAACTTGATAAATAATCTGCAGAAGTGTTAGAACCTGGAACACTGCACAGTAGGTCCTCCTTGTTTTTGCCCTCACTGCTCCAGATCACTTTTCTGAAGACATTTTTACTGCTGGGTTTCTCCAAGCAGGATAATACTGCACAGGGTGGGGACACATAGTCATAGCTCACATGGTCTGAAATCAGAAACAGAAGAAATGATGTATGAGAGAAAAGCCCACACATTCGTCCTCTCACATGCCTGGCCCAAATCAGCTGTCCCCTGCATTCCCCAATCCTTAGCTCTTGTGAGAACTAAAATCCCCTGAGAGTATCTGCAGAGGGGAGTCCTTTGGCACTGAACACAAGAAGGAACTGTTCTCCTGGCTTAGCTACTGATACCTCCTTCTAGACTGAAGCCCCTATAGCAGGCCTGGAGAACCTAGGGCCCTCCAGATGTTGATGAACCACTGTTCCCACAATCCTTCCACATAATCTAAGGTATCTAGGGCTGATGGGAACTGTGATCCATCTGTAGATTCCCCATTCCTACCCACTGGCTGATCTGTACAGAACCAGGTGCCCATAGCTTTATGTGTTTTCAACAATGAGCAGCAGGTAAGCCAATACATTTCGACTGAAGCAAGAAAAAAAATGGCTGCTGGTGAACTCCATGCTCACCATTGTTCTTAATACAGCAATCCTCTCTGTGAATGTGCAAGCAACTATTGATCACACAAATCAGTGTCGGGAACTTGTACTTCACCAGATATTGCAAGCATTACAGGTCCCATTAGTCCTCACCATTGACCATGCTGACTGGGTTGATGGGAGTTGGAGCCTGCCAGCATCTGATGGGCTACCCCAGCATAAGTGGACATTCCCCTTCCTTGAAGCCAGCTGGGGTTTAACTTCTGCTCAGGCAGTTACAGTTTCCACCAGGAGGTGGGTGGTTTTATTCTTTCTTAATTTTGCACACACCCAAAATGAGGAAGAAAGCTATTCTGTTAATGCTATTTCTACTTCTTTTTCCCCTTTGAGAGGCAGGTGGGTTCAGTGAACTTTGTAAACTGTGAAAAGAGCATCCACTTGTCATCAATCTCCAGTTTCCTCTTCCTCTTAAAGGAAGCTTGACCTTGTTATGGCTACCAGGAGCTCCTTTTGTTTAAGAAAGCCATGGCAGGGTTTGGGGGCACACATAAAACTCCTGACTGGGAATTGCAGAGACTAACTTTCTGTTTGTTTGGTACACAGATTCCAGATTCTTGATCCCATGGAATTTTGATCCCATGGATTGCCCCTTTCTGGATGGTTCAGAGACCAATAACATTGGAACCAGCTGATTTTTCTCCTGTACCTTCCCAAGTGACTCCAAGGTTTTCTTGGAATGCTTCTGTACTAGCTCTTCAATCTACTCTTCCCAGAGCACCTACATAGCATTATTGTTAACCTGTTGCATTCCATTGTTTTCTAATTGCCTTCTATTTTTTCCAGGCCTGACGTGTGGCTATTTTTATTATTAATGTTATTATAAAACATAATGCTGTTGTAGCACCAGCACGCCTGATGTCGAAAGGGGAACATTTTCAAGACTGTTGTGCCTTCTGCTTCTGCTTTGCAGGTTCAGCCTGTGGATTGCCTCCCGCATATGTGGGTGAGGGGTTTGTATTTGTTTCTGGTTTGCATTGTTTTAAACTGAGTATACTTGGGGTTGCCCCTCAAATAGTTTCTCTGCTAGTATGCTAATTTCTCTACCAGTCTCTGTGTGTGCAGGGTGGGGGGATTCTTAATCACTGATTTCCTCTCATTATCCTTTTCTTCTTTTAATGGGAAACTAGTGCTGTACAAGTGCTACTTCTGCATTAATAAAGGCAAAGGAAAAACAATGCCTGGAAACCATGTGTGCACCCTGTGGGAAGAGCAACTGGCACTGGAGCAATTTAAAGAGGCTACTCAGCACTACTCTTCCAGTCCTTTGCAATGTAAAGGACGAAAGCTGTTAAAGCAGAAGGTTTCAAATAGCATGAGAAGGGGACTTTCTGGAATAGACCTTACTTCCAAGTAGACATTACAGAATGATCTTGTCCACAGGGTGGGGTATTGCTGGAGATTATCATGGTATACAAAGTGCGTCTTAAACCCCTGTCCCGAACCAGTTGGTTATGGAAAAAACAGGCCTCAGCTGTGTCCCTAAAGGGTTTTTGTAGGGAAGCACCCATATTCTCGGAACTCTGTTTGCCACCGATCATTGCATAGCAAATAGGACTCAATGAATTCCCCACTCATCGGCTATTTTGTCGCGCTGCTTCCCCAGAAAGTGGATACAGAGATGGGTTTTCAGAGCTGGGCTGCTTGGACAGTGACATGTTTGTTACTTAGCTAGAAAGCCGTTGCTATTACCTAATGCACCAAGCCTCCTTTTGCACAGTGCCAGGACTTTGGACTAAAGCAGATCACGATCTTGGACTTTCAGAGAAGTTCTGTGGAGGTTTAACCTGGCTGCCACAAGTGAATTCCAGCCAAAGGAGGTGTGTCATGCCGGGGTGGTGGGGAGTCTGCCACCTTGTACACAGCTCTGGCCTTTACCATAAGTCTGAGGTCCTCCCTGCCCCAGTGTCTAGGATGGAGTGGGCAACCTTGTGGGGTCAAGGGGACAAGAATCTTGCTGAGCCATTTGGCATTAGTGCATTTGTGCAAGTGTGCATTTAGGCTAATGCATGCTTGCACTTAAGCGAATCAGTGCTTCTATTAATTAGCACAAATTCAAATTAGCACACGTAAAACAACATTCAGGTTAAACAAATGTCTGATTCCATCCATTGCTGAATGGTGAATTGAAGTATGCCTGATAATCTGGATATTTTGATTGCTTTGAAGGTTTAACATTGCTCTTATTGCCATGTGCAGCATTATTTTCTGGGTCCTGTAAACTCTCTCCTACTGTGCCTGAGGACTAGTCTCATGGAGAACACCAAGTTGATATGCTGGATTTTTTGAACCCAGAACTTGTGTATCAAAGTCCTCTCCTAAAATGTGTTGCCAGGCATGTTGGGGGCAGAAAGACTTCACTGAACAAGGTCAAGTTGTTCCCTGTCTCCATTTTTGTTTGTGATCATGTTATCAAGAGACAAGAAGATATACTGCTTACTAGTAAGCACAGACTTCGCCCAGGATCTAGAACAGCTTCTGCAAGCCTAGAGGACAAGCTTTCCTGTATTAAGCTTGTGGGGAGCTGTGAGGAAAGATTCATTGCTGGTTCCTAAGAAGTGCAAGCCAAAATCATTAATATTACATTACATTTATAGCCCATTTTTCTTCCTCTTGCAAGGAACCCAAGGCAGTTTACACTGTTCTCCTCCTCTCCATTTTATTGTCACAACAACAACCCTATGAGGTAGGTTAGGCGGAGAGGCAGTGACTGGCCCAAAGTCATCCAGAGGGTTTCATGGCTAAGGGGGACCAGAGCCTGCATCTCCCGAGTCCCAGTCCAGCTCTCTAGCTACTGCACCCTGCTGGCTCTCACCACACCGGCTCTCCTGGAAAGGCAGGGATGGGCCCACTTTCAGGCTTGTGAACTCTCCCTTCCTTTATTCCTAGAACCACACATTCCATCCACAGGATCTAAGCATAAAAGGGCTGATCGGGGGTGCCAAAGTGGTTCTCTCGGGGAGGTGCCAATGAGCTATGGCATTCCTTGAGCCATCTACTGGAACATACCCACATATACTGGTACAAATCAACAGCTGAGTGATTACAGGTCTCAGATTCTAATAAGCAAAACCGAGCCTGTGCTGGAGGGAACTTTTTGTTTTTCCTTTAGTTAAATGGTTGGAAGTCAGAAATACACTCTTGCAAATCATCCAGCAATTGGCCACTTAATCCCAATTTACTTCCTGATATTGTGAAATTAATGTAGAGTATTGATCAATGAACATTTGGGGCACATAAACCTTTTCAGCCATGGATCTCCCTGCTCCAGCCCTCCAACCCCAAAAATTCTAAAAATTGCAGTTTTACTGAAGTATTGGGAATGTTTAAGACAAGAATTCTGGGAGGCAAGTCCTTTCCCTGACCAGCCACTCTAGCGGCCCTTTTACACACGCATGGTAGATGTGAGGCAGAGAGGAATGGTGGCAAACTATTTCTGTGCAATGGTAATTGTTAGAGTTGTCATTGTCATTGTCACATCCCTGCTTTCTTCTGCACAAGGAGATGTGCCAAAGGGTGTTAGTGGATAGATGGCAGATGCATGAGCTGATCGTTATTAAAGCCAATAGCTATGATGGCAATTAGTAAGCCTGCATAATTTTGTCGGGGACTAGAGGCACTGTGGACCTGAGGACAAGCCCTTTCTTTGCGGCTGCAGCTGCTGCTCCTGCTTGTCATATTCCTCCAGGAAGGATGCACATCTCCCCTTATATTCCAAACTCATCTGCACATTAATTCTCCTAAAAGAAACAGAAGACAAAAATGGAAAGCTGGAAAGAGCAAGGAGGAGACAGAATGAGTCACCCATGAAGACTAATAGCCGATGGGTTGCTAAAATAAAACGGATGAGAGAGCTGTCCCTGTGGTGCCACTGAACTGGCAGCTGTAGGCACCTGTTTCACGGACTCATTACTGGGGCTCTGGAGGTCCTGGATGCTGTGAAGGACCAGGAGGAGGAAGCAGCATTATGGGATGGCAGGTAGGAGACATTCGGGGACATCTCCCAAAAGGCACCCCTCTTTTGCAGGAGCCCCACTGGCCTTGCTGCCCAGCTCATGCCAGGGATAAAGAACCTTTGAATGACAGTGAGAGATGGGAAAAGAGAAGGTACAGACAAGGTGCAGCATCTTGTCCCAGGACCTTTGGGCATGGCATCATCCATATAAGGCATTCTATAGATTGTCAGTAGCAAAAGGCATAAAGCCAGTTCTTTAGTGATACTAGCTGGGGCTCTGTGCACAACCTGTTGTGTCAAAAAATGATCCATTCAACAAGCAGGGTCACTTCTACTGTGAATAAAATTATTCGTTAAGGCCAGGGGACCCAGGGACCACAGGGCAGTTCAGACCACCACCACCCCAACCTCCTTACATCACAGTCAGGGTAGAAAGAATCTGTACTACCTGCCTTTCTGAGGTTGGCTACTTGATCTGAGAGAGGCAGGAAAGGAGGCATTCTGGTGGATAGGGAGAGAAAGGGACCGGAGAGGTCCGGCTAGGAATTATCCTGAGCCTCCACCCACTTTCTCCCATCTGTCAAGGCACCCTCACTAGATGGGCTGAAAACTGCATCTAGTAAAAACCAGGATTGGAGAGTGGAGAGGCAAAGATTGGCTCTGCTGCTCCTCGAACCTCCTGGTTTCAGACTACTATAGGAATCTCCAAAGTCTCCCAGTTTGGAGGCTTCTGAGTGGTGAGAATGGATTCAGAAGGGATGTAGCTCAGGCTTAGGTGACATGCTTTCTGTGCTACAGTCCCCAGTCTGATTCCTGATGTTTCCAAGTAGGCCAAGGAGAGACTCCTGCCTGAAACCCTAGAGATCTGAGGGTGTTTATTAGATTTGCAAATTACCCAAGGTGATAGGCAATCATAAAATCAAACAATAGCAATGATGGTGTGATAACCAAAACTCAATCAATTGATCAATAAAATATTGCTAAATATGTAGCAATAGCCTTGGCTATTGGGTGGTATATAAATGAATGAATGAATGAATGAATGAATGAATGATTAATTAATTACTTTTAAGTATCAAAATATTTCAATATTAAAATTTTAAAATATTAGGAACATGAAAGAGTAAGCAGCAAAATAATAAAGCAAATGATTAAGGGACAAATATCTGCTTAGAGGAAGGTCTTAACCTGGTATCTAAATTTATGTGGTAAGGATGCTTAGGCAGATCTCCCTGGGAAGAGCATTCCACAGACAGGGGATCAGTACACACTACACAGTAGCCACCCTCACACCATTGTGGGTGCCAGGCAGCACCCAAGGAAGAGGCCCTGAAGACCATTTTAGGAATCAAACAGGAACATATGGAGCAAGGCAGGCCTTCAGGTAGACTGGGCTCAGAAGCTGACTGGCAACCAGAGCAGAGAGTAACATCTTCATAATAGCTGGTTCTCCACATCCCGACCGTGCAGACCTCAAATTGGCAATCTACAGGCCACATGCAACAATCTGGGACCCTGGGACGCCCCCCACACTTTCCCTACTGCCCACTGGTCAGCCTCCAATTGAGGGAGCAGAGATATCCAGCACTAATAGCAGCAGAGAGACTGCAACCTACACCTAGACTGTTCGGCAGGGGAGAAGTTAAACCCCCTCATCCCACCCACCCACCCTCAAGTCTGTGTTGCTGCAAAGACCCAGGAGGACACAATTAATAATAAATAACAATGTGCATGGATGTGCACATGCCTGTGTGTGTGTGTATGTGTGCACGCGTGTGTGTGCATGCGTGCACACGTGTGCATGTATGTGACCTCCCCCTGCCCCAACTCATCACCCATCAGGGCAGGCCGACTTGGGGCCCAAAATGTTGCCTGACCCTGAGACAGATCATACTCTGATTTGGTATGAGACATCATTGACAGGAGAACTCACGCTGCTTGTTTGCACCTTTGCTCTAGCTCTATATTTGTAAATGACTGTTGCAAAAGCAATGGAAGTCACCCACTTCCTCTGATTCTTGGATCGGGAGCCTTGCTGCCAAACCCAGGTAAGTCTGCCCTAGAGCTTCTCATCACCACTCCTCAGAAGTGTGGGGGCAGGAGAGGAAATGCATAACAAATGCCAATTAGCAGTTTTGCTGCTGGATTCCAAAATAATTGGTGTTTCAGAACAGCCTTCAAGAGCAAGCCCTTTGCTTTACCATTTCAGAATTGGGCAGGGAA